AACCACACCTTGGTGTGGTGTAAAATGTCAAGCTACAGTACATTTACTCATTTACAGGTATTTCCAGCCCAAAGAATGGAGGCTTTTCTAGAGGAATGTAGAAGCCCGTGAGACAAATGCTCATCTTTATTGGCTGGGCTGTTGACACACTTATTTTCCAAGTGAGCTGCAGGAAGTCAGGTGGGCACCCTCATTCGATGTGCAGGGGCTTGTGGAGGGAATCAAGGTCTGTTTGCCATTCAAATGGGTCACTGTGGGGGCAGCCCAGGTCACTTGCATTCCTGGATCTAAGTTCCCAAGTCCCTGCTGAATTCCTGATCAGGCCGCCAGCCATCTCCAACACATAGGTTGCTCCATTAGCCTTCGGCTGTCCTTCAGTCCACTGGCCTTTTGAGGAGTAAGAGATGTTTGTTTGACAATGTCTGTCCCTTTCTTCTGGCTTGTGTGACATAGCCTCATTAAGTACAGGTTACATAAAACATTTCATTTTAAAATTACCGCCCTCATGTTCTATCTTGTCTGTGTGTGTGTGTGTGTGTGTGTGTGTGCGCGCGCCAGCCAGTACTGGGGCTGGATCTCGAGACATGGGGTGCTATCCCTGAGCAAGGCTAGTACTTTGCCACTTAAGCCACAGTTCAGCTTTTTAGTGGTTAGTAGGAGATAAAAGTGTCGCCAATTTTTCCTGCCTGGGCTGGCTTCAAACATGATCCTCAGATTTCAGCCTCCTGAGTAGCAGGAATTACACGTGTGAGCCACTGGCACCCAGCTCTATCTACTTTTAGTGTTTAATTTAACTCAGGTCAACAGTGCCATTTTTTTTCAATCCACAGAGAAAGGACACAGAAGCCAAACAGAAAGAGGGTAACCTCTGGGCATTTATCTGTCTTCACAAACAAGCCCAAGTCACTTCTCTGAAACAGACAAGGCAAGAAGCAGGTAAACATCTCAGCCAGAATGTGCAAGTAAATACAGATTTAATGAGTAAATGGAGATTAGTTCTCAGCCTTCCGTGATGATTGAGTAATCGCCATTTTCAACCAACTGGGAAAAGATAATTGGTTAACAGACTGAATTAAAATAATGAGGCAAAAATCTTATTGGAGAAAAACACTTTTTTCATCGGCTATATTAAAATTGCAAATTGAAAAATTAACTGAAAGAATATATTAATATGCATGTCTGGCACATTATATTAATATGTACTATGCATACTATGCATTGACAAATTCCACTCTGGAAGGATAGTTAGCAACTGCTAACAGTAATTATACAAAATTACAATCTTGACTCTCACTTTTTTTTTTAACTAACCAGGGGTTTAATATAAATACAGATAACAACATAGAAAAACTCAAGCCATAGTAACTAAAACCATAATGACAAGCAGTAGACACCAAGGACTTGGCTAGTTCCTCACATAAAAACAAAGATTCACTATAAGCATGTTACATAGGAAATGGCCAAGGAAGCGCACAGAGTAAAGACAAACCTTGCAACTTAAGCTAAACCTGAGCAGCTGCCAGGTATGGGGCTATGTTCCAGTGAGGAGGATGCGATGCAGGGCCCATGTCCCTCCCCATTTTAGGATCAGAAGTGGTTGCCCAGGCCTGCTGGGCTGGGTGTTGACATAGGCTCTGGCTGCCTGTGGAGGGGAGAGAGGGATGTTACTGCTTCAATATAGTACCCGCCTCAGCCCCACCAGACCACAAGAAGCTGGCCTCAGACTCACTCAGTGCTTCCAGCAGCTGTGTAGAAACAGCATCCTTGGCCACTTCATGACCATCCTGCCCATCTGGAGTCAGCACAACCCAGATGAGGCCACTGAAAGGCACTGGATGCCCAGGGATCACTACTTGGTACCAGAAGCGATGCCGGCCAGCGGGTCCTGTGTCCAAACGCTTGGTGAGGGACACTGGGCTGCCTCGCTTCATTCGTTGGCACAGCATCTGCAGGACGGCTCGAGGCCCTTGGGACCCCAGCTTGCTCTTAGCCAGGGCCAGCTGACTACTATGTGGCTGTAGGTGCTGCAGGGAGGGGCGCATGAGCTGGGGACGCAGCAGCTGCTTCAGGTCTGGCTTGAGCCACGCCACAGTCACTGGTTCTCCACGGAGGCGTGACTGCCCTTCCACTAAGGCCTTTTTTGGCCATGGCGGCTGCGCGATGGGAACTGAACTTGAGCAGCGCAATCTGGGTTGCTGTCGACCCCGGACTGGGCAGCAGCAGGGCTTCCTGGAGGCCGGGGCCCGGCGGCTGCAGTGGGTCACATCCACGCTCAGCTCGCACTTGTCCTCCGTGCTGCGGGCAGGAGGGCCGCAGGAGGTGGCTGTGCAGCGTGGCCATGGCGGCCTGGGCACCGCGCCGTAGCGCGCGTAGGCGAAGCCGCGATTGAGGCCGTTGAAGGCCATCAGGAGACGGAACTCGTCCAGGCGGCCCACGTGCTGGAGCAGCGGAATCAGCTGGGGCTCCTACACATCCTGGGGCAGCCTTCGAATAATCACCGCGGACCTGCCGGCGGCGGGCTGCCCACCCAGCCTGGAGGTGGCCCGCCATACCTCCTCTGCCCGTCTCCCCGACCCACGCCTCCAGGGCCGCCTTGTTTTCTGGATTCACCCTCTCACACCATTGCTCACAATCGCGTTTGGACTGCATGGCGGTACTGCAGGGCCCTCTTGACTCTCACTTTCTACCTTCTCATACTGCTTGATTTTTCCCCCCATTCCTGGGGCTTGAACTCAGGGCCTGGGCACGGTCCCTGAGCTTCTTTTGCTCAAGGCTAGCACTCTACCACTTGAGCCACAGTGCCACTTCAGGCTTTTTCTGTTTATGTGGTACTGAGGAATTGAACCCAGGTCTTATGCATGACAGGCAAACACTACACTACTAAGCCACATTCCCAGCCTTGACTATTTTTAACAATGGGGCTGTATCACCTTTGCAAATGCCAGATTAGAAAGCTGACTAAGCCACTCTTGCTTTCTTTTGCCAAGGGTTGAACAATGATACTGCAAAATCTATCAACTGTGGCCTTAAAACTGAGTGCATCAAAGAATGCCAATGCAAGGAAGGGCTTTCTCAAGTTCCTGCGTCCACCTGACTCAGACTGGCCAATGAGAGTCAGTCCAATAGCCTTAAATCTCCACACTGACATTTCATTACTAAAGATGACAGACATACCACAGAGGAAGAGACTGGAAATCAAACACCGAGCCCAGAACTCTGCCTGAGGCCACTGTCCTCCAGGCTCAATTCCTCCCCTAAAACCTACTTTTAACCCTTCCACAATTGTCTGCCACCCCACTTCCCTCTGCCTCCTGAAGAGGGTATTTACGCCTTTCTTTAGTTTTCTTTCTTTGGGGGGCAATGGGTGACAGGCAGTAGTGGGGTTTCAGTTCAGGGCTTTGCACTTGGTAGGTGGTGTTCTGTGACCTAAGCCACACCCCTGCCCTGAGTTTCATGTTCTGTATGGCTTCTATGCATATATCCATGGTAATTCACTCATACTCTCTTTTTTTTGGGGGGGGGGGGTTGATCTTTTACAAGCTTATTTCAACAGAATCAATGACCAAATCTTGGAGGCAAAGTTTGAACTTCCCAACGTATCTTTATATTAGTTTGGCACCTTTACATTCTCCAAAAATACTGCTTGATGAAATTTTTTATGTATGTGTGTTGGCTGAACTCAGGGCCTGAGTGCCACCTCAAAGCTCTTTTGCTCAAGGCTAGAGCTTTCCCACTTTGAGCCACAGTGCCACTTCCAGTTTTTTGAGTAGTGAACTGGAGATAAGAATCTCTTGGGGACTTTTCAGCCTGGGTTGGCTTCAAACTGCAATCCTCAGATCTTGACCTCCTAAGTAGCTAGGATTACAGGTGTGAGTCACTGATGCCCAGCACTTCAATGAAAAGTTTAAAGGTCTGACTATATGGAGTTATTGATGAATACTATATAGCATCAAAATGTGTGTTAACTGTAAAATGTTCTGTTACAAATACAAAATAAGCAATTTGAAAATACATAACTTACAATAAATAATAGTTTGCACAGATAGAAAACAGTATACCAAGCGAAAAACAAAAAAAGATTACTTTTATTTTCCCTAAGAAAGTGACTAAAATGTACATACATTTAAAATGAAAACCAAGGGGGAACTGCAATGAAACGAACTATAAATATCCTATATGGAACTTATGAGTATCCAGGGGTACGTTTTCCATGAACTTCATGCTAGCCTCTGGTCTCTGAGGTCCTTTTTATGCATCTGTTAAGGAGAAACATCTGTAAAAGTTGTGCAATGGTAGAGAAAAACCTAAATATTTGCAAAGTGTCTAAAAATACAGAACTATTAGTTTTACACCAGTGCACACTTTAAGGCAGCTCACAGGTACTTCAGACTCTCAAAGCTCTTCCTAAAAGCAATGAGAATCTTCCCAACATCAGTGTGAGAATGTTTCTTTACAACGTGTAAGAACAGAAAAAAAAAGCTTACTATTTCAGGAAACAGGACAGCCAAATCTGAACCAAGATTCTACCTTGTGGCATGACCTTGAAAGTCATTCCTTAGTCACCAGAAAATGGGAACTTCCCTCACCCATTGTTCAGTCTCATGGGAATCAGTGAGGATGGACTTGGAGACTGGCTTTTGTGATCTGTGAAAAGCTAAGCTAGGTGAGTGATACATCCTGTAGTCAGTCCTAACAACTTGGGAGATAGAAGCAGGAGACAGAGTGTTCAAGGCCAGTCTAGGCAACATATGCAACACAGCAAAATTCAGTCGTGAATAAGAAGGGGAAGGGAAAGGGAAAAGAAGGAAGAAGGGAGGGAGGGAGGGAACGAATGAAAGGATAAAAAGGGAATTTCTTGGCCAAGGAACCTCCCCCATTTGAGTGTGGGTACAAACACCCCCTGTGTGGGGGTACAAACAACCTTCTATTTCCATGTCTAACTTACTGGTCCCCCTTCCAGGTGGATCAGGTCATCTCCCCGGCTCTCCATTCACTGTGGCTGGACCACTTCAGAGGCACAGAATGGTTCTGCACATAACCCGCCCACCCCCAGGCCCACCACAGACAGTATGGGGAACAGGCTGGGGCAGCTCTGGGGTGGAGCATGCGCCAAGCCCTGGGTTCCACTCTAGCAGCACAGGGGAGAGCAAGGAGGGAGGGGAACACGCAGGAGAGACCTCCATGTCTCCCCTGGGTGGTTCACTGATGGTGGTCTCATAGAACTTCTTGCCAGCCACCTCGCTGGCTATATTGGCACCCATCAGCACACTGATGTTGATGCCCATCTTCTCAAGGATGATGTTGGAGTTGATCTTCAGCCCCTTGGGGTCCTCATCATTGCCCTCGGAGGAGAAGGGGACAGAATCACAGAGCCACTTTATGCAGAATCCACATTTAGATATCTCAGGAAAAATTCTCTTACATAAGAAAACAAAGTATATACAAACTGCTCAAAGAATAAAGATTAAAATGAGCTGGGAACCAGTGGATCACGCCTGTGATCAGGCTACTCAGGAGGCTGAGATCTGTTTGAAGCCAGCCCTGGCAGAAGTCTGAAAGACTCAAATCTCCAATTAAACAGCAAAAAGCTGGAAGTAAAGCTGAGGCTCAAGTGGTAAAGGACTAGCCTTGAGAGAAAAAGGTCAGGGAAGATACCCAGACCCTGAGTTCAAGACCCACAAGGGCATGTACACACATGTACATGCATGTACGTGCACACACACACAATTGAAAATTATGTACCCATTATTTGGATTAAGAAGTAGAATGTCCTGCCCATGTAATTGTAACCCCTCTCTACAGTATGTTCACAAATAAAAAATAAAAAAAAAGAAGTAGAATGTGACTTGCCAACAGTGCAAAAGATAAAGCAGAACATGACCCACATCCCTAAGTCCCTGTGTCTTTCCCCACATCCCTCTTCTTCCTTGTTCACCTCTCCCCTCGCCCAGCCACCATTCTAAACAGTGTACATCTTGCCATATGTAGCTGTTCCTAAACAAACATGAGGTCATCAAGCCCATTTCTGAAAGACAATTAAGAAGAACACAACTCATCTGTGATGGTCTTTTTTGCCCTCCATTACTATTTTAGAAAGTTGGCCATGTAACTGCATAAGCCTTCTGGTTCAATTCATTTCTGTTCATTGCTATATAGTATTCCAAAACTAGTAGCAGTCTATGATCTCTTACTAGCAATGTGGTGAAGGTGAGGGACTCAATTTCAGAATTACATAAAATATGAAGATTACCTACGAAGCCAGAAGGTGTATATAGTGAAATATATAGTGAAATAAGCGATGAATGACACAGGAGTTTGTCTCTCCACACTCAAGTACATGGCCTCTGGAGAGGTCTGAGGCCTTGTGGTTTACAAAGCCCACTTTAAAGTTAGGCTCAGAGAGACAAGGGGTACAATTTTCTCTCATGTGGAAGGTAGATCTAAATTATAAACATATCTGAAAACAAATACAGGGTCAGATGCATATATGTATATATACCAGAGGAGGATTCCAATGGTGTAACCCCTATGAACAGCCAGTGTAACAAAACACCAGAAGGCAGTCAAAGATGATCACATATTACATGTCATTCATATGAAATGTCCAGAATAGCCAAAGTGGGCTCAGGAATACTCACTTGTTTAGAATGTGAGGCCCTTGATTAAATCCTTATCATACACACACAAGAAAGTGGATTAGCGGTTACCTGGGGGAAAATAAGGTGAGTACTCAAGGGTCTGAGGTTTCTTTTTGGGGATGATATAAGTGTTTGGGAAAAAATTGCCCGTAGCAATGGGTGCACAACTATGGGAATATACTAAAAGCCACTGAGTTTTTGCAGTGTACATATTTTATCTCAGTGAAGCAGTTTGTATTTTTTCCTTTTTCTTTTTCTTTCTTGTTTTTTTTTGTGGTAGGTCATGGGCCTGAACTCTGGGCCTGGCGCTGTCCCTCAGCTCTTCAGCTCAAGGCTAGCATTCTACCACTTGAGCCACAGCACCACTTCCGGCTTTTTCTGCTTATGTGGTGCTGATGAATTGAACCTAAGAACTAATGCATGCAAGGCAAGCACTCTACCACTGAGCCACCTCCCCAGCTATTTTCTATTTGCTTAAACTTAAAAGCAGTACTAGGGTTTGAACCTAGGATCACGAGCTGGTTAGGAAGGCATTTAAAGACATGCTTTAAGTGTTTTTCTCAGGTGGGTTTTCATGCTTTTTTGCCCATACCAGCCTTGGGCCACTTCTCACATAGCCGGAAGTGCAGTCTCAAACCAGCACTTCTAGGCTTGTTAGCATGAGGATATTGTTAACTTGACTTAGGTTAGCATCAAACCGCACTCCCTCTGACCTATACCTTCCAAGTATCTGGGGTTACAGGCATGAATCACCACATTCAGCTAGAAAAAGAGTTTGGGATTTTTTTTTTTTTTTTTTTTTGGTCAGTCGTGGTACCTGAACTCTGGGCCTGGGCACTGTCCCTCAGCTCTTCAGCTCAAGGTGAGCTCACTACCACTTGAGCCACAGCGCCACTTCTGGTTTTCTGGTGATTAATTTGAGATAAGAGTCTCACGGACTTTCCTGCCTGGACTGGCTTTGAACCTCAACCCTCAGATCTGAGCCTTCTGAGTAGCTAGGATTACAGGCATGAGCCACTGGTGCCTGGCTTAATTTTGTTGTTGTTAGTTGTGGGGCTTGAACTCAGGGCCTTGGGTGCTGTCCCTGAACTCTTTTGAGCAAGGCTGGCACTCTATCACTATAAACCACAGTTCCACTTCTGGTTGTCTGGTGGTTAATCGAAGATAAGAGTCTTACAGACTTTCCTGACTGGGCTGGCTTTGAACTGAGACCCTCAGATCTAAGCCTCTTGAGAAACTAGGATTATAGGCATGAGCCACCAGCACCTGGCTTGTAAAGGAGTTTGGTTTTGGCCAGTCATGGGGCTTGAGCTCAGGGCCTGGACACTGTCCCAGAGTTTCTTTTGCTCAAGGCTAGTTTTCTTCTACTTGAGCTACAGTGCCTCTTCTGGCTTTTTCTGTTTATATGGTACTGAGGAATCGAACCCAGGACATCATACATGCTAGGCAAACACTCTACCACACCAGCCCAGGAATTTTGTTTGTTTGTCTTTAAGTTAGCAGATTTTAGAAGACAAAGATGAGAGGAAATGACAACTGAATTTCATAGAGGACGCTATGATCTAAATCCCCAGGTCACACTGGAGCTCGCTAAGCAGAAGAGGAAAAAGGGAAACAGCAGAAGAGCTCTACCAAGATGAGCTCTTATCAACACGGGTTCTAGATGGAGAACTCTAACACAGGATCAACATTTCTATCTTGTAATAAAAGGAAATACGTGTTCTTTCCCTTCTGGTCTAAGGGGAAATCAGCCTGAGATGGACCAGCTTTTAGGGAACTGCTGATGACACAATAATGCCTTTGTCACAGAAGGTTCCTGGGGGAAGGGGTCATGTTACACGTGAGTGTAGCCTGGGGGAAAGGTCAGGCAGGCAGCAGTTTGAGGGCTCTAAGCAAAATAGGCCCACAATCTCAACCCAGCACATTGACATTATAAACACCAATTATGTGTTGGTGGAAATGTATTTCCTTGAATTCACAAGATCCAAAAGTGTTCAAAATTAGCTTTTTAAGTGCTTATCACAGACTACAAGGCTGATCATTTCCTGTGACCTGAAATTTCATCTCTAGGTACTGGAGCACTGGCCACCTAGCAAAAAGTCAGAAATGACACAAATGTCCCCTTAAAACAAACAACAAAAATACAGCCCCTGGGCCCGAATTCAAGCTTTAGTACTGACACTAAACAAACAAGGGCAGGAGCAAACCAGGCGTGGTGGTGCACATCTGTAAGCACTCAGAAGGCAGAGGGGGAGGACTGCCAGACTAGAATACATAGACCCTGTCTCAAAAACAACACACAAAAAACGAGGAATTCCTTTTTATTTTTTATTGTCATTATAAAGGTGATGTAGAGAAGTTATAGTTACATAAGTCAGGTAAAGAGTACATTTCCATTTGAACTCTATGACCCCTTCCCTCGCTCTCCCTGTTTTTCCCTCCCATCCTCACCCACAAGTTGTTCTGATCATTTTCAACAATGTCTAGTGAGTACCACTGCTGCATTTCTTTTTTTTCTTTTTTTGGTCCGGACGTGAGGCTTGAACTCTGGGCCTGGGCGCTGTCCCTCAGCTCTTCAGCTCAAGGCTAGCACTCTACCACTTGAGCCACAGCACCACTTCTGGCTTTTTTCTTTTTGCTTATGTGGTGCTGAGGAATCGAACCCAGGGCCTCGTGCATGTAAGACAAGTGCTCTACCACTGAGCCACCTTCCCAGCCCCTTGATCCTTCCATTTCTGTGGCACTCCCTTACCCTCTAAAAGACAGATAAATGAACAAACAAAACAGAAACAACAACAAAGAAAAAAACAAGTTTCCTTTTCCTGGAGTTCATTTCAATAAATATTCATGTCTGCAATGCTATGAAAATGTAACTTAAAGGGAACCTGGGTAGGTATTTAAGACCTCCCTCTCCCCCCCTCCCCTCCCTCTTTCTTCCCTCTCCTTCTCACCCCCCTCTTTGCCAGTCCTGAGGCTTGAATTCTGGATTTGGGCACTGTCCCTGGGCTCCTTTTAGCTCAAGTCTTGCATTCTACCACTTGAGCCACTGTGTACCACTTATGGATTTTTATATGATTTACTGGAGATAAGAGTCTAATAGACTTTCCTGCCTAGGCTGGTTTCAAATTGCAATCCTCAGATCTCAGCCTTCTGAGTAGCTAGGATTACAGGAATGAGCCACTAGTGCTGGGTAAGAACTCAATTATTCTTGACAGCAGACCACAAGAGGTACAGATTACCCCCACTTTACAGAAGAACAAAATTGAGGTTCAGAGAATATAAATGTCACCAAAAGTCCTACTGTGTATCTAGAGCTAGGATTTTAAACCCAGATCTGACTGCTTCTAAAACCCACACTTCCCACCAATTTAGTTTGTCCTGGTGTAAAATGGTATTGCTGATAATCCAGTTGGAGCTCCATGAAGAAGAGATTCCCGGCTGCAGGCAGGGATCCAGCGAATAAAAGCAGACACACCTCTGCCCCCATGGAGCTAGGAGACTGACAGTGTTGCTGCCTGGTGACAAGGTGGCCAAGGGGAGAGGGCTTGTGACCCAGTGCCAATGACACTTGTCAGGTCATTCAGAGGAAAGGTGGCTTCTGAAGGCTGGGTGGGTCTCAGGGGGCAGGGAGGAGGAGGAGGAAGGGGAAGGAGAAGAGGAGGAGGAGGAAGGAAGGGCAGGGAAGCATGGGCATGCAGGGGAGG